AGAAGTCTGATGCAAGGAAGAGTGATTCATTCATTCAGATCATTCCTCCCCAGGTGACCAAGGACAGAAATGGTGAGGCTGGGGAGCTGAGGAGCAAAGTTGTCCATACAGTGTCAGACCTCAAGGGACGTTTTCTCCTCCTGCTTGAAACATCCTTAGGAAGCTCTGCATCAATACCAAGTGGAGAGTGCTGCAATCACTTCTTTGGTAGATTGAAAAACAATGGAAAATGCCCTTTAAAAAATAACCCCCCTTCTTTATTAAATGCTCATTGAAATCCACCTCTTGAACTACACTATGAAAAGTCTCTAATTAGCTGTACAAGGCTGAAAGACGTGAAGGAAAGTAAAGGAAGAAACACAGCTCATTATGGCTTTCTGTATTTTAATAAGCCCCAGGGTGTATTTGGTGCTGAGTCCATGAAGCTCAGATACTGAGAGAAGGTTGAAAAATCTGCTCAAGAAGCCAGAAGTAAAACTCAAAGTACCTTGAAGTATTAATGGGCCCCAGTGAGAGCCCTTTACTAAAAAAGCCTCCCCAGGGACTCGTTAGAGCAAATAATTGGAGGCCATGATTGCAGGCAGGCAAAGGCACTGTGTAAGTGGCTGTAATGTTGAGAAAAACCTTGCTTTGTTTTATAAATCAGAAAGGCCAAGTCCTTACCCCCCAGGCACTGGGAAGGCAGATCCTGTCCTTCCTGTGTGGCTCAGGGCTCTTTCTGGGGGCAGTGGGGTGTGAGAGTGAGCAATGAAAAATGTAAGAAAAGTCTCTAACACCTCCTGGCCTCCCCAAGAAGGGCTGAGGAGGAAGCCAAGAGCAGAGCCTCCAAATCCAGTTTTTCCTGTTAGGCCTGAGTGGCAGATGCAACTGCCCCACCCAAGGGGACAAAGGCCTTGGTCTTGTGTGTCCTTTCAGCCTTTCCAGAGCCCTTCGTCATTTCAACTGCAGGCTGTCCTACACTGTCCCATGCCTGCAGATCTTTCCTTTCAGGATGTAGACACCCATCTTGCTTTACCCCCATTTTTCACCCTGACATTTCTAGAGCGTCCCTGATGTCTCTCTACCCATTGCTTGTTGTTCCTTGAACGACAAAGCCATGGGCTGAGGCAGGCTCCCTCCAGGTGTCCTCTTCCCCCTGAATGAGTCTTCTTATACATTCCCTCAAGTCTGAATGTTCTGAGCTGTACCTTGAAGTTTTCCCTCTGTTCCCACTGCCAAGAACAGATCCATCATCTCTGAAACTGCACTTCAAGCAGTTGCATGGGGCTATTATAGAGGCCTGAACCTCTACTTCACCAGGCTAAAGAAGCCCAGGTCCCTCAGCTTCTCCACACAGGCCCCAAACCCCATCCTGGCAGAGCTCCTCTAGAACCTCTTCACTTCCTCCCCATTACTCTTTACTGGAGAACCCCACACGCAGACACACTTGTCCAGCACACCAGTGCTGAGTCAAGGGGGGTGTTTATCCTCTTGTTTGGGTGATGATGCTCCTCCTAATGCATCCTTGTTCACTTGGCCTTATTACCTTTGAGTATGTGCCACCCACCCATGTGCCATCCCTTGGAACGCCCAGGCCCTTCTCCTCAGGGTCACTCCTGAGCAGTTCAGGTCCCAGCCTGACCTCACGTTTGGGGTTATTCTGACCTCAAAAAACACTTGACACTTTTCCTTACAAAACATCGTGTGGCTTCTATTGACAACTTTCCAGAATTTCTCCAGGTCCCCCTGGAGTGAAGCTCCTTTTGGGGGGCTTTTAATATCTTCATGCAGATGGACCAGCAGATTTGTCATGCCTCTGACAAGGTAACAGCATGAGGAATTGCGGGACGCTATGGACAATAGGAGGAGTTGCTATTTAATGGAACTGCTGGCCAGGGTAGGAGTTCCCATGGTGACAAGCTGAGAAGCACCAAATGAGGGTACAAAGGAAACCAAACTAACGCCAGGGAGGTAGAGAGAGATGGGCTGTGTGCATAGGGTGTACAAGGACGGTGTCGCAGATGGGAGGGAGAGAGAAGCAAAAATGTACTTTATGGATATAAACCAGTGAGGTAACAAGGTTCAATGGTAAATGCAACAGTTGATTACCAAGATTCGATGGCAAGGCACACTTGGTGTTTTACTGCACAAAGAGGACAGGGTCAGACAAAACTCTTTGGGAGACCCCCTTGCTTTCTAAATTCCATCCTCAGAGGGGAGTCCCAGTGAAGCTGGATCCAATCCTAGTCCCAGACTTGGTCAGTGGTTTATGCCTAAAGATATGTGCAATCAATCCTTTGTATCACTTAGCTAAGGTTTCAATGTTTACCATGCTGTTAGTCACTGTTGCTGTAAGGAATCTCTCAACCTCGAGAAGTAACCTTGAGAGGGGTCCCTGCTCAAGGGGAGATCCTGGCGTGCAGCCCGCTGCCGTGCAGGAGAGCTCAGAGGGCTCCTGGGCTGCTCACTATTGATGGGGGCAATATGACCGACTCATCGTCATGTTATCATACCGACTGCAGATGTTGGTTTCTTCCAAATTTAACTTGAGTCAGACAATGACAAGCACTGTGGTTAGGTGGACACAGTGCCATAAATCAGCCCCTGGCTATTGTGTTGTCATCTGTCTCCCCCGAATTCCCTTGGAGCTGGATGCATCCACCACGACCGCCACTGGTGATTATCACTTGAGCAGCCTTACGGGAATAGGTCAGGTGAGGGATGTGGGGCATGGTGCACACCACCACACCATGTTCCTGCTGCTGGCCTGTCACCTCCAGAGACAGAAGTGACCTCACAGGCCCCTTACCAGCCACGTGCTTCCTACTGGATTGGGAGTTTCTGAGACACAACTGACCTCATCATACCATACCCATCCATCCTGCTCCTTATGGCACAGGGCCTGACCAGATAAAGGAATGCTTTTTTTATCAAATTTATCAAAAATATTTCCAACTAGTGATTTGAGTGGAGAAACAGTCTTCACAGGAACTGCTGCATTTCTCTTGACACGTTTTATACCTCTTTTATTCGTCTTCCTCCACCCATTCTGTGTTCAGAAACCTCTCCAAGGGAAAGATTCCCTGAATCACAGAATAACTCAGGTTTGAAGAGAGCCCTGAACGTCACTCTCCTGTTCAAGGTAAGGTGGACCAGATGAGGCTCTTCAAGGCCTCCATCCAGCTTTCAATGATCCACAAAGGAGCTGGAAGTGTGCTCCAACACACCCTACAGGGGGATGATAAAGATGTTCCACAGGGTTGGCCCAAGCGCTGGTCACTGAGGGCTGCCACTAGTAGCTGCCTGCTCAGAGGACTTTGGACCACTGATGACATTTGGGCTTGATCGCCCAGCCAACTTCCCACCCAACGTCCACTTCTTCAGCCCAGACAGCACGTATCTGGTGATAAGGACATCACAGCAGACCATGCCAAAAGCCTTGCCAAATTCCATGTACACAGCATGCCTTTCTTCCCCCTGCCCATTTTGGTTCAGCAATCTCTTTGTTGTCCTTCAGGTGCCTGGAAATGTCTGCAGGACGACGTGTCCCATCCCCATTCCAGGGATGGATGTAGGCTGACCAGTCTGTAATTCTGACAATTCTCTTTCTTGCTGTTGGGGATGGGATTGATGTCTTCCTTTTCTAAGGACCCCCAAACCTCTCTGATCGCTCTGACCTTTTTGAGAGCACAATCCAGAATCACAGGCAAGGGTGATGTAGCAGACAGGAGGACTTGCAATGAGCCTGTCCAAGGAAGTTCAGGAGAATCTCACTGGGCCAGAGGGTTTTTTTCCTGGACTCACACAGAGAAATGTCAGGGTTCTGTCAGGCGTCCACATCTGAGCTCTTCTCGTGGATGCCTGATATTTGATGCACCCAGGGGTGTTCAGAGTCTTTCCCTTTTACACACAGGCAGTGCACCGCAGGAGTCCACATGTCTCTCTGGCCTCCTGCTGCCTTTCCCAGAGGCTGGGAGGCACCTCAGCCCTGTGGTGTGTTGTCCTGCTCTACAATCATATGAGATGCCCCCCAGCATAAAGTCTGGACAAAGGGACAATGTTCAAGGAAGCACATGCCAGTGCTGCATTCAGGGTTTTCCATGGGGTGTTACTCCCAACATGAAGTGACCTCGAGGCACTCTGTCCCACAGGCCTTCATGCAACCCCAAGGAATAGCTCGTGGCATTTGTGCTCACTTGGGTTCCCCTCACCTCATGTACGTGATGTGCATGCTTACATCTCACCTGTACAATGCAGACATGGACTTCTGACCTACTCATTCAGTGTCCTTCCATGGAGGGACAAAGAAACTCTCCAAGCTGGGCTGATTGCCCAGGGTATCCAGCAATCACAGGCACAGACCATGTCTGCTGGTCCTTCAGGTCTCTCTCAGGAGGCCTGGCTGTGTGAAGACACTTCTACGTTCCCCAACCCCGCACACTCACATTTCATAGATATATACTGCTGGTTTAAACTGCAGGTCACTTTCCTGGCCATGTTCTTGAGAGAAACTTTGGTAGAAGACCTAAGCCTTCAGGCACTGCTCTGAGGAGATCAACTTTCTTTATGGAAATGTTGGTATGGAGGCCAGCTCAGGCACAGAAGTGCCCATTGTCTCTCCCATCTTGCTGTCACAGGACTACCATGGAGCACGACTGTGACCAAGATTCCAGAGTACTCAGGCCTAACACAAATGTAAGGGATCACAAGGAGAGTGTGGAAGTGGAAGGAGAAGAGGCCTGGAAGACCAAGCGCTGGTGCTCCCTGGCAGTGCTGTCCTGATGGGACACTTTTCCCTTCCACCCATACACACAGGAACTGCCTTTCGGGTCCAAAAGTAATCTGGAGAATGTTCTCAGGGAAAAAAATGTTGCTGAATGATATTTATTTTGTTTTAAAACACATATATAATACATCCGCTTATTTAAACAGCCACTCAGTAAGAAAAGTGGATGACATTATCACAAGAAAAAAGCAGCACCATAAAAAAAAACCAGAAGAGAGGCTGGGGCTGCAATGAGTTACATTTTTACTGCTACGCAGAAGAATTTTATTGCTTCAGAAAACCACCCAGTTATCAGTTTCCAGACTGCCACCTGGAGCTCTTGGTTCCTCATGCTATAGATGAGGGGATTCACTGCTGGAGGAACCATGGAGTATAGCACTGCCACCACAAAGTCCAGTATAGGAGAGGAGATGGAGGGAGGCTTCAAGTAGGCAAATGTGCCAGTGCTGACAAACAGGGAGGACACGGCCAGGTGAGGGACACACGTGGAAAAGGCTTTGTGCCGTCCCTGCTGAGAGTGGATCCACAGCACGGCCCTGAAGATCTGCACATAGGACAGCACAATGAAAACAAAACAGCCAAGTGCTAAACAGAGGCTAACCACAAGAAGCCCAAATTCCTTGAGGTAGGAGTGTGAGCAGGAGAGCTTGAGGATCTGGGGGATTTCACAGGAGAACTGGCCCACAGCATTGCCTCTGCAGAGGGGCAGTGAAAATGTATTGACCGTGTGCAGGAGGCCATTGAGAAAACCACTGCCCCAAGCAGCTGCTGCCATGTGGACACAAGCTCTGTTGCCCAGGAGGGCCCCGTAGTGCAGGGGTTTGCAGATGGCCACGTAGCGGTCATAGGCCATGACAGTGAGAAGAAAATACTCTGCTGTTACCAAAAAAAATACAAAGAAGGCCTGGACAGCACATCCTGCGTAGGATACGGCTCTGGAGTCCCAGAGGGAATTGGCCATGGATTTGGGGACAATAGTGGAGATGGATCCCAGGTCAAGAAGGGAGAGGCTGAGAAGGAAGAAGTACATGGGGGTGTGGAGGTGGTGGTCACAGGCTATGGTGGTGATGATGAGGCCGTTGCCCAGGAGGGCAGCCAGGTAGATGCCCAGGAAGAGCCAGAAGCACAAGAGCTGCAGCTCCTGTGTGTCTGTGATTGCCAGGAGGAGGAAGCCAGTGCCAGAGCTGCTGTTGGACATTTTCTTCTTCTGGGAATGGAACACTATTATAGCAGAAAAAGACAGCAACAAGTTAGGGGATATTCCTCTGAGAAAAATCAAAGCCTTTTGTCACACACCCTTTTCCTTTTCTACCAGACCTTCTTCAGCTATGTGGTTTGGTCCTTGGTCAGTGCTGGCTGCGTGTGCCATGAGGAGCAGGGCCTGCTCTGCAGCAGCGAGCTCATGGGAACAGTGGGGGCAGGTGTCAGTCCTGGTGTTCAACTTTGTCAGATGAAACCACTCCTAAAGCAGAAGGGCCTTCATCTGCACTCTTAGAGGTAAGGAATGGGGATGGCAGAGGCAGTTTGAGTTCCTTGGATTTTTTATACCTCCTCCCCCTCTCCCATGCTGGGGAGTGCTGCTGGATGCCAGAAATCTTCAGCATTTCTCCTGTGCTGAGGGAGAACAGAACGAGTCCTGCAAGGCAAGAGGATTGCTTGTAGCTTAATGCAGAGCAAGGGGAGCTGCTCCATCCCTCCGTCTTCTTCCCACCTTTCTGAAATGGAGAGTGATTGCACTCTCATGCTAACCTGACAAGCTCCCAGACACTGCTGGGAGCAGAGGGATCCAGTGCAGACTCACTCTCACCTTTCCTCAATATCTCAGCACCCTGCTTCAAGCCATGGACACACATGGATGATTTCCGCAACCCAAGACCATTTCCTCCATCATAGCACCTCTGTTTCTACGTGGGGCTTTCAGATAAAACCAAAGTGTTGTGGGACAGCCTTGCATCCTGGAGGGAAGCTCACAGCTTGGGAGGACACCTCAGGGAGGTAGCCGATTCTCCTTCTAATGGTATTTCAGTTGGTAAGAGTCAGCTCATAAACCAGCCCCACAGAATGCATTGACCAGAACTCCACTTTTGCTAGGAAACCTGTGACTCTTGTTCAAAGCCAGAACTGTATGGAAGGACCCACAAGATCAGTGTGTGACTCTGCAGCTGAAACTCCACCTCCCCAGAGAACCTGGCAGCAAGAATGAAATTATAACAACAATAACACAGACCAGTAGAGACAGAAGGAAAAATCCAGTGAAGGTCTGGCTCAGAGAGGCCAGGGCAGAGGCAGGCGGGCCCTCAGGCAGCATTACCCTGCCCCAGCTCTGCACGCCACCTCCCAGGCACCACCATGGCTGGGCAGCTGCTCTCAGCCCCTGGGCTCTGCAGAGGTAAATGGTCACGGGGCTGGAGGCTTGCTCAGAGGAAGGGCTCTGCATTGGAAGGGATTACACAGAGTTGTCCCTTTCAAATTTCTTGTTTTAGTTTCCTCTCATTCCCAGATCATATCCCTGCTAACTGGAGATTCTCACCCTGGGAGGTGTTTCCCTGTCCCATGTCCCTTCTTTGGCAGCGCTCACAGACCACACCCCAACCTCTGTGCACTCATATTGGGTCTCCAGAATCCTGCCTGTTGGCAGGGCTCTGCCTGGGCGCATATTCCTGTTTGGAGGTTGAAAAATACAGGTCAGAAGAACCATGGTGGGTCCAGGGGAGGTGACGCTGCTTCTGTCCATAGGCAGACGAGTTGCTAAATGCACTTCACCAGGGTCCTGGACATCCTATTCATCACTCAGAGCTTCACTTCAAGAGTCTCAGTGACTTGTTAAAACTCAAAGGTCAAGAGCTTTCCATTTATACTTTTTTCTTCCTATCCCTACCCCCTTGGAATAGGAAATGGAAAGGCAGAGTCAGGAAAGATCCTTATCTTCATAGTAAACCTTGCCTTGATCTTCTCCTGGAGAAAACCCTTTGGAAATATTCTGGGGGTGATGTGGAGCTGTGAGCAGCCCTGACCCACACAGCACCCTCTCAACAGCAGAATGACCCTGCCTTACTGGGGGTTTCTCCTCTCAGCCACAGCTTCTCCTCACATCACTGTGGTCAACTTCCCAGACGGGCTGAGTACCGACCCTGGCAGATGCGGAGTCTCTGACCCTCCCAACCCTCTGGAACCAGGGACCCTTCTCAGAATGAAAGCCCTGGGCACCCACCTTTACACCCCTGTAGCCATTAGGGGAAGGCAGCCCTCATGCCCTGTCCCTCTGATGGTGCAATGGAATATCCCTGATCTGCAGCACGTCATCCTCCTCTATAACAGGGAAACTGTGAGAGTTGTGCTTAGAGATACCATTGGCTGTGGAATGTGCCACCTTTAGGAGCTCCCTCCAGGAACTGAACCTGCATTGCCTTGCACCCAGAGGCTTACCACGTAAAGGGCTGTGAAGATTTCTCCAGCAATGAGCTGTCAGCATGTCCACATTGTCTATAACCACTCCAGGCTGTCTTTAACCTCTCTCTTCCTCACTCCTCTCCCCTCGGTGCCTGTAGGCAGTGCCCTCAGCCCTGCTGTGCTTTGCAGAGGAGCTGCTCCTGGGCAGAGCTGTCTCTCGGCAGCGCTGCCCACTTGCCATCAGCTCCCTCCATCCCAGGAGCCCAGCCCAGCTCAGCAGCAGAGGACCAGCCCAAGGCAGCACTTGCTCGGCCCGCTCTGGGCTCCTTCCAGGTGTCCCTCCAGGTGTCCCTCCAGGCTGAAGCAATCACTGATGTTCCCTCCCTCGGATGGGGAGAGACAATTATTACAACCTCTGTAATGTCTCCTGAGAGGATAATATTTGGGCATGAGAATCGCCTTTCCTTATCCCATCATTAGACAGGACATGCAGACAGTGACAGTGAGAGTTCTCCTTTACCCCTGCTGAGGGAAGGGATGCAGATAAATCCATAGATACTTCTCTTGCATCATAGATAGCAAGAGATGCATTTTTTGATAGATTCCTCTTGCATCAGGTGTTTACATGTGCACAAAATAGGCACCTGCCTGGGAGGTCCTTCTCTTGTTGTTTAAAAATTGCTTAGGGGAGCCCAGAATGCAGACACAGTCTCCATAGGAGTATGGTGAATGCTTCCTCCTTTATTCAGAGTTACAGACATATTTATACTGAGGGATGGGGTCCACGCGACATAAAAACCGCTTTCATTGGTTTAACAACATTTTCCACCGCCTCTAGATCCATGCTAATTGGTTTAACACACAAGCTATCATATGCAAGCCTTTGCGATTAGAGCACATCCTGGTTAGTCTGCAAGCTTTGCGATTAGAGCACATCCTGGTTAGTCTTATCAAGTTCCTTTGTTCTTGCTTACAACATGTGCAAATTCCTCCTTACAGGGCCCTAAGGACACATTGGCCTTGTCAAAGCCAGGATTGTCCATGAGATCCCATAGTATTTTATGGCCTTGTTGTTCAAGAAACTCCTCTACATTCTCTCAGCTCCCGTGCCAATTAATGGAAATAGGGGGCAGGACTGGGCTCTTCACACACAACATTTTGTGACGTTTCAGGTGTCAGGACTGGTTGAAGATACGTGCAGGCAACTGCAAGCTCTCATGGAGGAGTTCATAGAGACAGGCCAACATCGGGGGGAATCCTCTTAGAAGCTGCTGGGAATTTTCTTTGGCCAACTGAAGTGGCAGCTGATGCCCAAATTAGGGCAACTGAACCTGTCCTGACTCATGATGTTCAGGGCAGCCTTTAGAGTTATTCACCTGAACAAGTGGAGTCATGTGCCACAGGCAGAGCTCAGGCTCACTCTTTCTTTTCTCCACCAGCTGTATTTACTGTGACATGGACAGTGGGATTGAGTGCACCTTCAGCAACTCTGCCGATGACACCAAGCTGTGTGGTGCCATTGACCTGCTGGAGGGAAGGGAAGCCATCCAGGGGGACCTTGACAGGGCCTTGACAAGCAGTCTGAACCTCATGAAGTTCAACAAGGCCAAGGGCAAGGTCCTACACTTAAGTTGGGGCAATCCCAAGCAGAAATACAGGCTGGGTGGAGAATGGGTTGAGAGCAGCGCTGAGGAGAAGGACTTGGGGAGGTTGGTTGATGAGAAGCTCAACAGGACCTGGCAACATGCACTTCAGAAAGTGAACGTAGATGAGTCATTTGACCAGATCCCTGAACAGAAATTATGGTTTTCCATCACCCCTGAGATTCCACTTTTTGGTCCTGATAAGTATCATGCCTCTTGAGGTGTCCTGCAGTATTTTCTGCCCCATGTGGTGGTTTAGGCTGTGAGGAAAACCAAAAGAATGCCTCTGACAGGAGTAATTTCACCTTCAGTGCTGAAATAAAGGACAGATGCAGGGACTTCAGAGAGTCCTGGCAATCTACTGAAGGGTTAGGACATAAGAGATCCAAAATGAAGATAATGCAGTTGTATCAGTGTCCATCACACAAACATTTGTGCTGCTTTGTGCTTTTCCCCAGTTTGGTATCTGTCCCTTGAGATTTTTCAGTAAAACAATAAACTCCTCACACAGACACACTTGAAATAAGGACAAAAGATAGAGAGCGGAAATTCATGAGGGGCAATATTGTCTGAGAAATGTACTATGAAATGATAACAAAGAGCTATCAATGAGGGAAAAAACACTCTTCTAAAGACTTCATGCCAGAATCTAAATGTTGTTAAGTTATACATATCTGATGAAGTAAGAATGAGTATGAAATATAACGTTAAAGACATTACTTTTGTCACCATCAAGAAGGAGAAGGAATTCGAGAGCATGGTACTGTTACTGCATTTGTTGAAAACAGAAACAGGTCCATAATGTGATCACTAAGCCCCAAACCAGCTGCTCACTCACACCCCTCTCCTGAGGAATGGGGAGAGAATTTGAAAGGTAACATGAGAAAAACTCATGGGTCAAGATGATGAGATATGAACAGGTAAATCAAAAGCTGTGCCCACAAGCAAAGCAAAATAAGGAATTAGTTCACTCATTCCCATTGGCAGGCAGGTGTGCAGCCACCTCCAGGAAAGCAGGGCTCCATCATGAGTAACTTGGAAAGAGGAATGCCATAACTCCAAACATCTTCCTCCTTCTTCCCCCCGGCTTATTGCTGAGGATGGTGTCATATGGTATGGGATATCCCTTTGGTCAGTTTGGGCCAGCTGTCCTGGCTGTTTCCCC